TTTCCATGAATGACAATGACTTCATCAGATGTTGTAAATCCCACTGATCGAGGAAACTTGATTCTCTCAGCATCAAGCCCTTTGTCTCCTATTGTTCTCAGATATTTCCACTCATGATCAAACAACTGAACTCTGTGATTATTAAAATCCGCTATGGTAATCTTTCCGTTTCTTTTATTCACTGCAATGCTAACTGGTCCTTTAAACTGTCCCGGTCTATTCCCATGTGATCCAATTGAATGAATAACTTTGTATTGATGACCAGTCACCTGAACTCTCCAGGGACTACCAGTCAGCGGTTGGCCATTCACCTTAACGCAAATGTCACGTAAGCCAACACTTTTTGGCTTGTAACGCGCTACGTAGGTTCCATTCTTACAGTCATCAATTTTGGTTTCCTCCTCTTCTCCTTTTTGAGAGCGGACTATTACAGTCAGTTGGTCTTGTTCATCATAACATTGACTTCCCTTTGAATCTCGAGTTGTTACTGTAAAGCTTGTTTCAGTGCCTGCTTCAGCCTCGATTAAACCTCTTCCTTCTGCCGATGACTGTGAAGGATCCGTGTTAGTCTCGAATACTTGACCCGGAACCAAGCCTCTGACAGTATTCATAGCTTCCAAATTTACACAATAGACTACATGTTGAGGTTTACATACTTCAATATCCTGTGTGGTTAAAAGTTCCTCGCATCGACCAAGCACAGCATGTCCTGCTTGCAAAATTTCAGGACCGATGCTTCGTTGTACGATACCTTCGCCACATTCGACAGAACTCTTTAGCTGAGCCGCAAGTAACTGATCACTTCCTATTTTTGCTGCGTATATTCTTTGTTGCGTGACTCTAATTTCTGCCAGCTTAGTTTTTACAGCCGTTTCATGTTCCTTCGCAATTCGAATAATTTCTTGCACAGTTTTCGTAACCTTCTTTTCAGCGGCGCAGATTTCTTCTTCGCTTTGTTTCATCAGTTCAGTTTTCTCCGATATCTTTGACTCCACAGTAACAAGTTTTTCCTTAACTCTGGCAAAGACTTGCGTCATTTGCATCTTTTGTTCTTCGGCAGCCTCCTGTAAGTCTACTAAAGTATGTCGATTATGACTTACTATGCTGCACTTGTGGCAAATACAAACGCTACAGTCTCGACAATAATAATCAAGCGGTTCATTCTCGTGATATTTCTTTGCACACATGGCGGGTCTGTGCATCAAGTCCTCCACATCTTGCGCTTGCAAGTTTTCGATCAAAACATTGCGATGACCTCTCGTGGCCCTCAGGCGCTGATGAGCATCAAAACAATCCTTGCAAAGAAAGTTCTGGCAAACAAAGCAGTAGCAAGTTGCCGTGTTGTTTTCTTCACAACTACTGCATCTCTGAGCCTCTTGGCTGCCACCTCTCAGAGCAAGGAGATCCACCAATCGGTTGAGATGAAAAGATGTGGGAAGGCTGCCAAACGTGTCTCCTTCGGGGATCTGAAAGCAAGCTTGACAAACTGGACATTTGATCGTCGTTTCTAACTTTCTCTTTGCATATCCTGCGTGCTTGTCGATACACTGCAGACAGAATGAGTGTAGACATGGCAGTGTCTTGGGATCTTTGACTGTTTCTAGACACAGCGGACACTCGGCTTCCTTCTTGAGATTTGTAAACAGCTGTTGAACATCCATATCTAGCTGAATAAGTTGAGAGCTGGGTGCAGTTGACAAGTCACATGGCTTATCATGCATAAAACGAGACTTAGCGGAGGGACCAGTCACCTAATAAGCCCTCACCCTCTCCACCCTATTCAGATTTCCAAGTGTAACCTTTGAAGAGTTTCAATGTGTTATTACTCGGGTTTCGGCTTCGTTTTTCGTTTCGTTCAGCTGTAAATCGCAATCAAATTTTTAACACGCATGCGCGAAGTTTTGTGCATGATAAGGATTAATGGCATGGCATGGTGTAATGGTGAAAGAAGAGGAGCATTTGGGGTGAAAAATCAACACAGATACTGTGTATAATACGCTGAAAATGCATGCAAAATATAAACACAGCGTTCGCGGTTGCCCTTCACTAAAAGATTTCGAGCGTTTTCGGAACGGGTCGGTCCGCGAACCTTGTGAGAGAAATTTTTATGAGTGAACTTTCATCGAGAAACATGCAATATTAACTGAGCTATCTAATTTCAATCGAGAGAAGCAGAAACGCAAATCTCATCGTGTATGTAGACGTGATCGTAAACCAAGCAGAATACCAATACGAAGTTTGAAAAGTAGGAACAAGAGCAGAAAGGTTAGAGAATTTTTATATGCACGTATTCTTTCATGTATACCCATGTTATCTACATTGTACTGTTATGTAAATGCGAAAAAACTATTAAATAAAACGATGTTTTAGTTTAACTGTCGTGAAAGAATTCGTCAAAGTATAAGAAAGATAAAATATCGTGCCAGTCGATATTTAAAATTGTTTTCTTATAACAAACTGATATGTTCTTGGGACAGAATGTAGGACAACAGTGTGTGGCAATGAGTTTGTGCTCTTTGCTTTTATTACAATACCATATAAGGGATCAGCTGACTGCAAATGATCTTACACAGATAATGAATATTGGAAATCTGTTTTATTCAAGTTTGTCATAATTAGCCAGACAGGCATTTTTAATGCAGTCAGAATTACCAACAGTATTAAATGTGTTTGATACTGATTATAAACTGGAATACAGTGAAAGCTACTCAGGTACTGTTCACTAAGAAACTGCTACTGAGGGATATCAGTACTGTACCTCTTTATGAAGAGCCTTTGAGTCACTCATATCTGGAAACTACACCAATTTCTTATTAACAGTTAGGTGTATTGCTGTTGCAACCTACTGTAATAGTAATATGATGTTCAAAATACTTGATTCTCATGCTAGAGATTTGTATGGTAGAGGGTAGCCTCAAGGTACAAGTCTTCTTCTTAAAGCACTGTCCCTTGATAGTTTTGTGCATTATTTTTCATAGTATACTTAATGGTATCTTTGAAGTGAGAGGAGTACAAGTTGAGAATATTCAAAATAGAATGGTTTCTCAACACAGTGTGAATGAACCACAAACTTCAATCTAAGTTGTGCTGTAGCTCTATCTTCTCTTTACTACTCTACTCTGAAACCATGTAGTTACTGGAATTACTACTCATCCTTACCCACCATTGGTGACAGTGGCAAAAAAATGTGTTATAAATCAAGTTTAGAACACAGCTAACCTTTCCAAGAACTGTAGATGTTTGTGGAACTGTGGTAAATTTAGATAATTTGTTTTCAACTGCAGGACTATTAACTGATTCACTTCAAAGTAAGTCAATTCTTGAGAATGATATGATGAATAATATTGAATGCACAGAGTTTTTGATATTGTTTTTCTCTTATTGCATCAGTTGTACCTTTAAACCCACAAAAAATAAATGATTAGAATATATGCATTCCCTCATGCTTTATAATGAAAGAGACATGTCCCCTATTCAATACACTAAAAACATAAATGGAATGGCTTCACTTGTTAATGCCATTAGAAAAATACAAGAGGAATATGATTCTCAAGGGTATATCAGAATACAATTTGATATATGTTCATGTAAAGTGGTTGACAGAAATGAAAGGGAAAAATCAATGAATAATCATAGACAAAAACAATACCATAAAGCAGTGCAGCCATGCACCAAAGAAAAAAATTTTGGAGAAAAAACAAGTTTGAGATATAAAAAATAGACAGGAATTACAGAAAAAACTGTCCCAAAATAACAAGACCTGCTAAAGAAAATGGCACAACAATACAAAACTATGGATTCTGATAAGAAACAATAGTTGTTAAACAAAAAAGCACTAGAGTACAAAACAATGGACGCTGTTAAAAAACAAGAAGTACTTGAGAGACATAACAAAAATATTGTATTTGTAAGAATGAAACTGTAGATTTGTGTATTGAAGATTTTAACAGAAAAATAAAGGAAGGCCCATAATATTTATATTGGTTGTATATGTAACAGAACACTTTATAAGAAGTCTGTCTTAAAACTTGATACAACTAGTTACCCTTCTCAGGACATTTTTAATATACTATTGTCATTTGATGGAAAAGAGTGTATCTGTAAGACTTGTCACTCTTAAGTCAATCAAGGCAGTCTTCCATGTCAAGCATCAGTACACAACTTGTATGTAGATTACATCCTAACAAACTAGAACATACCAAAATATAACTGTAATGCCAAAAGGATAACATAGTAAAATTAAAAGTGCTGTATGTAATGTACCAGTAAATTGTAATCAAACATGTAACATCTTGCCTCGTCCTTCAGAAAGGTCTGGTATAATTGTCATTAAGTTAAAAAGAAAACCATTTAAGAGGACATTTTTATTTTGAAGCTGTTAGACCAGAGTTCATAATGTCAGCACTCAACTGGTTAAAAGTCAGTAATCCTTTATACAAAGATATACAAATTGATTGTTCAAACATTAGTGAAGAACTGACAGATATGACACAGGCTGATAATGAATGATACAAACCTACTCACAAATACTGTTAATAATCATTTAGACAGTACATTTAAGAATGCAGTTAATGTAGGTCAACCTTGTGATGCCTATTTTCCTTGAGAATTCAGAATTGAACAGCCCTGTAGATGCTCCTAATAATAGAACAGAACTTCAAATTAAGAAGTATAAGACCCTTTTAATGAACACAGATCACCTACTAGTGAGTCATGCTTGCAGTCGGTTATTCCAGATTATCCCATTTTAAATGAGGAACGTCAATCTGATAACTCCAATGGTAGAGAAATCTCTAATGACTGAGAAACTATGTGAGGAGCTTGAATTTCCAGTATTATTTCAAAAAGGAAGATTTGGTTATACTGCAGAACAACAAATCAAATTGTCGTCAGTTAAGTACTTTAATGCCCAACTGCTACATCACAGTGGAAGATTTGCAACAAATCCAGAATATCTTTTCTTTGCTCAGTTCATTATCGAAGAGGACAAAGTATCTGACAGCATCAATATTGTCCTTAAGAAAATTCATGATATTATCATGGTATCACCATATTATCATTGTAATTAGTAGATATATAGTCATATGGACAAATATGAAAACTAGTTTTTTCTTTTTCCTCACTGCTCATATTCAGAATGAAAACGCTTAGATAATTTTCATATCCCAGTGAAAATTTGTAATTACTGTAATGGGTAGACTCAGAATTTTTTGTTCATCATCAACTGCTTCAAACTTAATAGTCATTTTTCTTTCAAGGGCAAATAAAAATAGTGGTTTTGATTGGAGTTATTTCAATAAGCTTGGGTACTGTTGATGAATCACATAAAATTAATTAGATGCTGCATTCTGTGTCACCTTTTGTTTCTTTGCATGAAATTTCGAGAAGAGTGACCCATTGATTTGTTTGTAATGTTGCGTACGGAGCCTCCTTACTTTTACTGGTTTTGCCTTCTTTCAGTGAACGTGTCACTTTCAGGTGCTAAAAGCTCTTGCATCAGTGAACTGAAAAGTTTCTAGAGAAACTGTGGTGCTGCATCGATGGGAGAATGTAACAGGATAATTTAGTATTATCAGCTGAGTTGATAACGTACATTTGCCACCGTGAATAGTTTTAAAGCTAAAGAGCTAAAGTATTCATCCATTCTTGTGTTACACAAATGATTATTTGGCTCGTTAAAATGTAGTCAATTTTGTGGAAGTAGGTTAAAAAATTTATGAATGAAGGTTCAACGCCTATCTCTCCCAATAATTGGTTTCGTTGTTAGTATCGTCTAGATGATACAGAAATAGTATATAATTCTTAATATGAATAAGTTTATCTTATCAAGGAATCGATTTTTTTAATAGCATTGTTTGATTTGATTTAAGCGCATGTTGCTCCTTCAGTTTAAAGTTCGCACGCTTTGCGGACCTTCTCTGTGCTGGGTCCAGTCCAACTCCAGGACTATCCGGCGGGAGAATTGTTTTAGGACTCATTATTTCACATCTTAACTCATATTTTTGACGCTCCATCGACTTATATTATTTCACCGTTAAGTTCCACAAGAAAAGAATCCCTGATATAAATAAAAGTCTTTCCGAAAAAAATACAGACGAACATACGCTAACAGCCAACTCCCTTAATAGGCCATTTTCCCCCTGTGTTTTAAGGGAGACACGTACAGCGCCCAAACGACTAACTCGCTGAACTCCAGATCAATTAAGTCTGAATAAATGCATTTCTGAACATATCTCACTTCTTGGTTACGAATTCCTTATTCAAAGCTTTTGCGATAATTTTTTACAATAACGTGACCTCAGAGATTTATGCATAGCCATTTTTTGGTTCGGATAACGGCAGACGTTGAATCGAGGAATAACAAGGCTTAAAAGGAACAGAGTCCCACCTCCGAATTTGAGTCCCAGATTTGGTGGGAGTGGGAGGTAACCTGTAAAGAGTCTTAAAAGTTGAAAAAACTGAGACTGTTTCCACCCTTGTTCTGGTGATTGTGTTGTGTTATTGTGCAAGAAGCTTTTGTATTAAAGTGCCACTCCTCAACACAGAATATGCATCAAGGAACTGTCGTTGAAACTTGACGAATACTAAATAAGGGAGAAAGGGAATAAATATTTTCATCCCATAAATGGAGGAGTGACACTATTCCTTGTTACATAATGCTAAGCTCTAATGGCTAAGTGAGTTGGTCTTGGAAAACTTTTCTTGGGGGTAGGAATAGTATGGCAAAATGGGAAGGGTTGGTTTCGGTAGCTGCTATATAAAGAACACGCTGGTTTTCGTCGATCTTCTAATCTGTAAAGATAGAGAACCAAAAAGATGATAAGACTTCAAGTTCTGTTTCTATAATTTATGG